CACCGACCTGCTTCACCACCACACTCCATCCCTTCAGCTCCGCTCCTACTGATGCCTCCTGTCCCTTCCACTCAGGACCAAGCACCGGACATGGGGTGACAGAGCCTTCTCCATATCTGCCCCCTCCCTCTGGAACTCTCTCCCCAAACACATCCGAGACTGCACTGACCTTTCCATATTCAAATCACAGATCAAAACCCACCTGTTCAAAACTGCTTTTAATGTGTGACCACTATTGTGTATTTTATGTTTTTAGTGTATTGCTTTTATATATGATGATTTTAATGTAAAGTGTCTTTGAGTTTTATGAAAAGCACTATATAAATAAAATGTATTATTATTATTATTATTATATTATTATATTACATGTCAGGCAGTGGTGGAAAGTAACGAAGTACAGTTACTTAAGTTCTTGGTACAAAATGTTGTACTTTTACTTCACTACATTACATCATTAGGTGTATGTGTGTGTGTGTGTGTGTGTGTTACCTGCAGTGACAGCAGGAGGCTGCAGCTGGTAGCCGGTCAGCTGACACCAGCCGACTGGGTACAGGTCAGGTGACTGACAGTCCACCCACTGGTCGTACTCGTCCTCCCAGCCGTCAAAGTGGATCCTCAGCAGCCGGTGGACGATGCGGGTCACTGTGGCGACGCAGACCAGCCGGGGCTCCATGAGGTCCACGGCCTCCAGCTTCATGCCGGGACGGAACCCGTGATTAGGGACGTCCTAAATAATTATTTTGATGAACAATTTCTTTAAATTAAAATGTGTGAAAGTTCATTGTTAACGTTAAACAGCAGTTTGTGATGTCAGCTGAGCAAACTAGATGTGCTGTAGAAGACCATGTGTGTATATACATGTGTATATACACAGCACAGCTGAGTATGTGGGTTGCGGCCATGAAAAATTTGTCAAATCTTCTCTGCCAAACAGCTTATTCTGCCATTGACTCTTGTTTGGTGTTGTTTGGTGGATTGGATGATTGAAGTCTATCAGTTACAAGGAAGAAACAAGACATATTGGCAATTTAACAAACAGGAGCCTCAGTAGCGTGTGGAAGAACCATACACAGCCACAACAGCCTGGCTCCTCCTCCTCCTCCTCATGCTGCTGGTCACCGGCCTGGCTCCTCCTCCTCATGCTGCTGGTCACCGGCCTGGCTCCTCCTCCTCATGCTGCTGGTCACCGGCCTGGCTCCTCCTCCTCATGCTGGTCACCAGCCTGCTCACACACTGCTGTGGGATGGCATTCCACTCAAGCAGGATTTGTTGCAATTCAGCCAACGTGGTTGTGTTGGTCACTCTGGCACGAACAGCTGGTCCCACAAGTGTTCACTGGGTTGAGGTCAGGACTGCTGGCAGGCCATTCCATCCTCTCTACTCCCACATTCTGGAGGTAGTCTCTGATAAACCGCTCTGTGGGGGCGAGCGTCTTCATCTTGGAGGATGGAGTTCGGTCCCAGACTGTGGAGAAATGGGATTGCCACTGGTTGCAGAATCTCATCTCGATATCTCTCTGCATTGAGATTGCCTCCAATGAAGACGAGCCTCGTTTCTCCAGTGATGGAGATGCCGCCCCACACCATCACACTGCCTCCACCAAGAGCTGTTACTCTATCGGTGCAGCAATCAGCATAGCGTTCTCCCCGTCTTCTCCACACTTTGACCCTACGATCCAACTTCCTGAGGCAGAATCTGGACTCGCTGAACATAACGTTCCTCCACATGTTCAGGTTCCAGTGCAGGTGTTGCCGACACCAGCGCAAACGGGCCTGACGGTCAATATCAACAGCAGAATAAGCTGTTTGGCAGAGAAGATTTGGCAAATTTTTCATGGGCGCAACCCACATACTCAGCTGTGCTGCTCATCCCACAAATGCATGTTCTTTACAAATGGGGCACCGTTTGAAAGGTAAATAAACAGGCTTTCCAACGGTATAACATTTATCGCCAAGAAGCATTGTTACAGAGAAGTAATCTACCAAACACTAATTTCCCAACTTTATGTTCGATGTTTATTAATAAAAGATCCTATTGATCAAGTTACATGTTTGGTGTTGTTGTAGGAAAGAGTTTCACCTCTTTGATTACTGTTTTATATGGTGACTAATTGAAGAGAGCTCAGTCTTCAGACCAACAGAACAAACAGAACTAGAGCAGTAGATCCTGAGGACCATCAGACCATGTTCAGCTCTCACCTTGCTGAAGAGCTTCACAGGAGCCGCCACAGATTTGCTGTCCTTCAGATACTCGAACCACCTGAAGGGAAGACTGGTGTAACCTGAAGAACACAAAGACCAGAGCAGATGTGTGGGATTGATCCACAGACACGTTGCTGAAGAGTCAAAACCACAGACTGTGAAGAAGTGGACGTTGTCATGGTGACGGCTCTCGAGCCTCCAGTTCAGCATTCTGTCCGTCGCCATCTTGTTTTTTCTCAACCAGTGAACAGGAAGTCACCATATCTGGACTGAGGAGGAGTGACGTAGAGACGCCGTATACGTCTCTGGTAGAGACCTGTCAATCA